TCGGCAGGCGGGCTCTCAACCACTGCGCCACCAGGGAAGCCCGTGACTTTTTTTTTTAAATCTACCACAAATGGAAAAGGGCAGGATGAGTTTAGAATGTGTTACTTACTAGCCCCTTTGACCTTTTCTTTAGCCTAAGTAGCATTTCCTCCAACATTTATTATTACATTTATTACACAGGGTACTTTTTTAAAAGAAAAAATTATTTATTTATTTGGTTGCGTGGGGTCTTAGTTGCGGCAGGGGGGCTCCTTAGTTGTGGCTTGTGGGCTCCTTAGTTGCAGCACATGGACTTCTTAGTTATGGCATGCGAACTCTTTGTTGCAGCAGGCATGTGGGATCTAGTTCCTTGACCAGGGATCGAACCCGGGCCTCTTTCATTGGGAGTGCAGAGTCTTACCCACTGTGCCACCAGGGAAGTCCCAACACAAGGTCCTTTAATCATCACTTTTACCTGGCCCTGACCTCTTTCTCTGTTTCTCCTAGAGTGAAGATAAAGTATAAATTAAAATGAAAAACAAAAAAGCTTTACCAAGAACTAACTAATAGAATTTTGAAAACTCTGAATTTTTTTTTTTAATAAATAAATTTATTTATTTATTTAATTTTGACTGCATTGGGTCTTCATTGCTGCACGCGGGCTTTCTTTAGTTGCGGCTAGCAGAGGCTACTCTTCATTGCGGTGCACGGGCTTCTCATTGTGGTGCCTTCTCTTGTTGCAGAGCACGGGCTCTAGGCGCGCAGGCTTCTGTAGTTGTGGCTGGTGGACTCTAGAGCACCGGCTCAGTAGTTGTGGCACAAGGGCTTAGTTGCTCCACAGCCTGTGGGATCTTCCCGGACCAGGGCTCAAACCCGTTTCCCCTGCATTGGCAGGCAGATTCTCAACCACTGCGCCACCAGGGAAGGCCCCCAAAACTCTAAATTATTTTTAAAAAATGTTAAGAGAAAATGTAGTTTACTTACTTTTGAATATTCTCTTGAACTTGATTAACAGTGATTAGCTGTTAACAGTGATTAACAGGGATTAACTCCTCAGGGAGTTCTCCAGGATTTTAATAATAGACCAGGATTATGTGTTATTACCACATCATTTGTTAGTATTTAATTAAATAGCTTGGTGTTAAATTTTTTTAAGGATTTTACTGTATAACCATTTAAAATCTTGACCATAGTATTAATTTCCTAGGTAAATTCTTTTTTTTAATTAATAAATTAATTAATTTGGTTACACTGGGTCTTAGTTGTGGCAGGTGGGCTCCTTAGTTGTGGCATGTGAAACTTTTAGTTGCGGCATGTGTATGGGATCTAGTTCCCTGACCAGGGATCAAACCCAGGTCCCCTGCATTGGGAACACAGTCTTGACCACTGTGCCACCAGGGAAGTCCCCCTAGGTGAATTCTTTTATTTATGTTCTATATAGGTGGACATCTACAACCAGCTACCTTTTAGAATAATCTGAAATCCTGAATTAGTAGGTTCTAAATTAATGATGTTTTTACCTCTTTATTCAACTAACTTCTGCCAATACTCAGCAAACACAAATGTGATTTCCTCTGAGTTATATTCATTTATGATCCTCTGTGGTCCACTATTTAATTCTGCTTTCCATTCTGAAAGAGCTCTTAACCTTTGTTCATTAATCATGGGAAACAGTTGTGCAACATGCCTTGACATTAACTTGAACATCTAAAATTAGTCCTGTAACAATCAGCAGTTGGGAGCAAGGTTTTAGTAGTTTGTGGTATATGTTAAGTAGACATTGCAAGGTTGGAAGGAACTCCCTAGAAATATGTAAGTGACTTGTGTTATGTGTGTGTGCATGTACCTGTGTGTATACACAATTGAAAATCTCTTTTTATTAAGCAGATGGACAAATTACATGTTACTACAAATGCATTATAAGAATCTTTATGCACTATGCTGTTTAATCATTTTAGAAGAAAAACATATTTATTGAAAACCTGGTATGCTAGAGTGGATTTTTCTGGATGTTTCTTTTGTGGTTTTCATTTTTTAAAGGAATAATTGTATTATATATACTATATTTCAAGTGAATGAATTTTTTTTTTCTCTTCAGAGTTTATAGAAACCCATTCACAAAAATGACATCCTGGTTATATGAATGTCTTTGTGAAGCTGAACTAGCACAGTATTATCCTCATTTTACTGCCCTTGGCCTTCAGAAAATAGATGAATTAGCCAACGTTACAATGAAGGACTACTCCAAATTAGGAGTCCATGACATGAACGACCGCAAACGTCTCTTCCAACTTATCAAAATCATTAAGATTATGCAGGAAGAAGATAAAGCAGTCAGTAGCCCAGAGTATCCCCTACAGACAAGCAGTCTGTGCATCAAGCCTCAGAAATCTAGATCTGGCCCTCGAAGGCAACTGCATTTTGATTCTCCTGCTGACAACAAAGACAGAACTACCAGCAACAATCAGTTTGAACTGTGCAATTTATCACATTTATCTGCAAGTGAACAGAAGTCTAGTTACCTAAAAGTGCTAGAGCATTTGCTACCAGATGATTCCCAGTACTGTACAAAAACAAGAATTCTGAATGCCACAGCTGCTGATTCCTACCTACAAGAAGAAACTAACACTTCACTCTTTTCATCAAATCACTTTTCTCCAATACAGGGAGATTGTGACAGTCCCGTTATGCAAAGAGTCTCTCATGTTTCAGGGTATAACTATGGAATCCCTCATTCCTATATCAGGTAATAACTTATTTTTTTCTTTTTAAATTTTGGAGGGAGGGTAGCCTTAGGCAAGGGCAGGCTTCTCCATGACCAGAGGGGACCAACTATTCCATATTTACAGAAAATGATAGTGAGCAGCTTCTGCGGTGATAATGGAAGTAACTTGATAGGGTGAAATTAATGAAGAATTTGGACTTTCCAGCTGGGAGATGATATTGTTTATATGCATCAAGCAGCTGCTACTTACCAGGGTCTGCTATTATTCCTATAGCAGACATATTTTTATTATTATAGTGTAACATGATACATCTAATGCATCCATGAAGGTAAAATATCAATAGTTAACTAGCCTCTGCAGTGAAAAAACAAATACACAATCCACAGGAATTTTTTTTAAGGCTATCAAATTCACTTCAGCCAGAAGGCATGAAGCTTAGTTAAAAACAGCTGTTTAATTCGACTAGTTGAATTAAATAGGTCTTTGGAGCAATTGATTTACCTGCACATATTGAAATATGGTCCTGATTTTGAGTGCTTTCTACAATTCCAGCCCTGGAAGGACAGATGATTTTGGTCATTTCAAAGAGTAAGACCCTTTTGATGGAGTTTAGAGTTTGGTTGTCAGAGTGACAGTGCTTCGAGTTAGAATTTGAAATAAGGTCCCTAAGAGGTGAAATATCAAGTAATCCCTAATACCAACCTTGGTATATGATAGAAAATACATTCTTTTAAAAATAATGTGTATTGTTTGTTTTGTTATTTTAAAAGTTATAGATGGTGAGTTGTGGAGAAGTAAAATACATTCTTAAGCCACTTTTTAAAAAAAAAATAAAGGCTATTATTCATACTTTAAAACAAAGTATTTACCTCTGGTCTTATATTGGCTAAGGTTTCAGAGGATTTCATAACCAACTAGTTCTTTTATTCTAAAAAAATAGAAGACCCAATTTTAAAGGTAAAAATGCCTTTAGTAATTTGAAATACATAAGTGAATTCTGTAGTGTTTTTGGAAGAAAAAAATTTTTTTTTTGGTTTGGTTTAGCAAAGCACAGAGCATATAGTACTGTTTTCTTCTTTCAGTTGTCAAAGGACTAGATTGTTCTATGATCATCAATGCCAGGATTGTTGCTCTCCTATTGGTTAGCTCAGTGGTGAAAGAACAAATAGTTTCTTGAATGTTAGTCTTTTACTGAACAACACATAAAAATCTAAATTGGAATTATTTATAAATAGAATAAAGGTGTGACTTTGCATTATTTATTTAGATAGAATGGATATTTTAGTTTAAATATTGCTGTTTTATTTATTTGACAAATATAAAGTACCACCTCTGCTTGCCCTGATCCTAGATATAAAGATAATTAGGATATCTGGAGACTCTCAACTCAAAGGGGGCAGGGTAAGTGGGAAGACAGGCAACCATATAGTGAGATAAGCGCTCTCACAGAGGTTTGTATGTGGCAAACCCAGAACGAAAGCTATTCAATTGAGCTTTCTCACTTTATATCGTTATTATCATACTCTTCCCATTCCTTATTATATTAGAGAAATGGAGGTAAGAAAGTACATTTTCCCCAATAATTCTCAGTATTGTCTTCTCACCCAAACCCTAAGTAGGAGCCAGAGTTTCAGAACCCTGAGAAACTCCCTCACCAACTTAAGGCTTCCTATTAGTGAGTCATCCCTGTCCAAAGAGCATTCTCTTTGGACACCTCAAATCAGGTAAGTTCAAAATAAATTACTGGACTCAGAACTTTAATAAAAGTCTAAGGCGTTTAGATAACTGGCTGCCCTGACTTATTTAAGATCTTGAACAGACCTAACTCTAGATGTATTAACTCTGCACGTCAGACAGATATATTTTGTTTCTTCTAGGGAAGGTTGAGCAGTAAAACCAGAGTGTTTTAGAATACATTAAAACTGGGCTTCCCTGGTGGCGCAGTGGTTGAGAGTCCGCCTGCCGATGCAGGGGACACAGTTTCTGCTGTACAGTGAAGTGAATCAGCTATATGTATACCTGCATCCCCTCCCTCTTGGACCTTCCTCGCACCCCCACCCCCCATCCCACCCATCTAGGTCATCACAGAGCACTGAGCTGAGCTTCCTGTGCTTCACAGCATGTTCCTAACCCAAGGAATATTGCCTCAATATTCTGGATGTTAAGGTTGATGAGTTCACTGAAGTCAGCCAGAGAAGAAATGTATCTGAATAGAAAGATGAATTAGTGGTGAATTAGCACCAGTGGTGAATTAGCACCAGTCATAAAGGGAAGAGGAAATATAGGATCGTGTTCTAACAAATAAATATATATCGGGGTAGGCAAAAAGAGGACGCAAGAAAACAAGACAAAGGGAGTGCCAGAATATACCTGGGAGAAACGGGGAAAATACATTGAAACCTACCACCAAATTCAAGGTATTTAATAAACCCAGGTAGGAAAAAAAGAAATTAGATTGAATGGTCCAGAAAACAGTAAATGTACAATAATAACTGGATTGAAAGGAAGCAAGAAACCTGCTTTTGGGTGGGGTGGAGTAGAGAGGGAGATAGAAGTAATCAGGAGGATTTATAGCGAATAAAAGAACTCAGTGTCAACACTTCCGTATGTAACATATTGTGTGTATATGTGTGTGTGCGTGTATTACACCTAATATGTAACAAAATGTACTGATACTTTGACCTCTTAAGTAGTTTTATCTTATCATTAAAAATTAAGCCCACTTATATATCAGCCAGAACACCTCAGAGAAAGAGAATCCTTGGAATGAGATGGAGAAAATCAGAGTTTGTGTTCGAAAACGCCCTCTGGGCATGAGGGAGGTACGTCGTGGAGAAATTAATATTATTACTGTAGAAGACAAAGAAACTCTACTTGTTCATGAGAAGAAAGAAGCAGTTGACCTCACACAATATATTCTGCAGGTATGATGCTTTCCTTCTATGTTTGGAACTAACATTATCAAGTGTCAATTTTTTGTTTTTTGTTTGAGTAGCAGTACAAATTCTAAAATCCAGTTCTGGGTTTGGGTGTTGGCATTCATTCCTGATGTGACATTGCATTAAATCATTGATAAACCTTAGCCTTCATTTTTAAAAAATATAGGGCAGTGGGGGATACAAAAACGTAATTCCTCCACTCTTGTGCAAGAGTTGCATCATTCAGTCACTTAACATGCTTTATGTGAACTTAATTACACATATTCAGTCAGAAAAGAGCGAATGAGGGAATAAAAAGAGTTTAAATAATGAACTGGTGGTAAGCAGGGCCAGTCACTGAGCGTATGCACCAGAGCGACTATGAGATACTCACACAGTCTCAGTTCTCTCCTGTCTCTCACAGTGTGAACTTCTCATTCTGCTGAGTGCGAGTCTGGAGTTAAATGATGGAGGGTATATTTTTGAGCAAAAAGACCCCAGATTGCCAGCCAACTGCTTATTTTGATTCTCACTTGTACTTGGGCCTAGGCTTAATTTGGTGGAAATTGGGCTCCTGAACAGGCCACTTTGTACAAGGTAGATTGCAGTGAGTAAATATAACCCAGGGATGTGATTTTACATCGAACATATAAGGGGTTAAATAAAACACTGTAGTTCAAACACATTAAAAAATGTTCACTCCCTGCCAGAATGATCATGATGAGTCCAAGGACAAAGGGTTTGATACTGAAAGGAATTTATTCCTAGCTGATAGGTACCCTTGTGATAATTCCTTCAGTCTCTTATGAAAGCAAACCCCACAGATGGAAGATACCATAATTTAGGTACTCTTAAAATTATGAAGCAATTATGAATAATCTTAAACAGGGGATAATCCACCAGATGTTAAGATTTGGGAATTCAGAGTTTCTCTTATCTGAATCTGTGTCCCTGCATGTTCATATTATGTTCATTCTGTTCTCTCTCTCGCTTCAAAACCCAGTGACTGGGAGTTCCTTGGTGGTCTAGTGGTTAGGATTTGGTGTTTTTCACTGCCTTGGCCTGGGTTCATTCCCTGGTCAGGGAACTTAGATCCTGCAAGCCACGTGGTGCACAAAACCAAAACAAAACCCAGTGACAGGTAGAAAGAAAAAAAAAGTGGTGAGTAATCTGGTGTGCAAGCAATTCACCTTAGCTGAGATATTACTCTACTGGAATAAATCCTTTAACACTGAAGTCAAATTGTTAATACTCTCCCCTCTTTAACACTTGCATTCTTTTTTTTCTTTGCTTACCAAAATTGGCTTTCACGGTAACATTCAAAGCAATCTACTGTGTCTTTCTATGGGCACTAAATTACTAGGCCACTGTATAACCAGCCCAGTCACTTTAACAGCCTTATTGATTGCTGGTCAATGCACAGTCTATTAGGTCTAGGTGGGAGGTATTTATATTGAAGATGGTCCAAATGACCAATTAGTTGTAATACTATCTAGTTCCATGGCTACTTATAGCCATGGTAATAGCCCTATCCAATCACCATCTACCCAAGACTGCCTTAATGATGCTTCTGTCGCAGTAATTCCCTCAAGGAGGCATCATCTTATCTTTTGTATTTTTCCATTATCCCAGAACACAATAACCTTACTTCTTTGTCATTGCCATTGGTCAATACTTATTGAATACCCATAGTTTCCTTAGCATTTTCTCTGCTGTTTGAACTTTGGACCTTTGCTCTCATAGGTCAAAGTCCTTACCTGTCAATGCTTTTAATATATGTGTTGAGAGGCCTTTTTTCTCCCCCTTTTTCTTAAGTAGAAAGAAGAAAAGGGAGGTTCATAGCAAATAAATATTGATACTAGATTCTTTGGGTTTTATTTTTAAACTTATTCAGGAGTTCAAATAGGTTTATGTGTCCTTTAATTAAACATCTTACCCTTTCAAATCTTCTTTGTTACTTATGTGATCATATACATATAGTGTGCTGTCCTACTTACCATTAAATTTTAGGATATCAACATAATAAGTGAAAAAACAAGGAGACATATCTGTATGTGTTTCATTCCAATTTCTTAAAGAAAAAAAAATATATATATAGAAAAAAAGATGGTACTGAAATATATCAAAGTCAATAGTGGCCATCTCTAGTGGTAGTAAGATTTACAGATAATTTGATTTTCTTATCTGTTGTTATCCATGTTTAAAATATTTTTATGCAATCAGCAGTGTTACTCTTTTTTTTTTTAACATCTTTATTGGGGTATAATTGCTTTACAATGGTGTGTTAGTTTCTGCTTTATAACAAAGTGAATCAGTTATACATATACATATGTTCCCATATCTCTTTCCTCTTGCGTCTCCCTCCCTCCCACCCTCCCTATCCCACCCCTAGCAGTGTTACTCTTATAAAAAAAAAAAAAATAAGAACTTTTGAATAGGATAGATTTACCTATTTCAAAATCAACATGGTATGCAATGAAGAGTGTCTCTAATCCCATTTCCTCCTTGAAGACAACCAGTATTACTTAAGTGTTTTTTTCCAGAGATATTCTCTAAAGACACTAATAACTTTAAAAAAAACTTCTTTAAAAAATAAACTATGCAACTCTGATAGATTTACCTATTTCAAAATCAACATGGTATGCAATGAAGAGTGTCTCTAATCCCATTTCCTCCTTGAAGACAACCAGTATTACTTAAGTGTTTTTTTCCAGAGATATTCTCTAAAGACACTAATAACTTTAAAAAAAACTTCTTTAAAAAATAAACTATGCAACTCTGATCATATCAAAGCTAAAGTGAATTGTTGTTTTTTTTGACCGCGCTGCACTGCTTGCAGGATCTCAATTCCCTGACCAGGGATTGAACCCAGGCCACGGCAGGGAAAGTCCAAATCCTAACCAGTAGGCCACCAGGGAACTGCCTAAAGTAAATGTTAATCCAACTTCACTGATAAAATATGATCAAATTAAAGCATATGTGATGCACATGAATTATAATAGTAATCTTGTATGTTCACGTATCTTTCATGAAAGATTCATACAAAATTACTGGGAAAATCAGTACTTAAATCCTATTGGAAGGAAAGATACTAATTCCTTCAGTCAATACATACTTTCAAAGGTGTTTACTCAAGAGCACTTACAGAAAGAGAAGAATAGCCATATACTCATGAAATAAAAGAAAACCCCCCAAAAATGTATATCCACATTTACTTCCGTTCATTTTTTTATTTTCCTGAGAAATGCCAAAAATGCTTTTGACTTCATACTTAACTATAAAAACCTACAGTGATATTTGAGCAAAGAATGGATTTGTCTCCTTGCTTAAAGACCAGTTATGACTACCATATGACCCAGCAATCCCACTACTAGGTATATACCCTGAGGAAACCAGAATTCAGAAAGAGTCATGTACCAAAATGTTCATTGCAGCTCTATTTACAATAGCCCGGAGATGGAAACAACCTAAGTGCCTGTCGTCGGATGAATGGATAAAGAAGATGTGGCACATATATACAATGGAATATTACTCAGCCATAAAAAGAAACGAAATTGAGCTATTTGTAATGAGGTGGATAGATCTAGAGTCTGTCATACAGAGTGAAGTAAGTCAGAAAGAGAAGGACAAATACCGTATGCTAACACATATATATGGAATTTAAGAAAAAAAAAATGTTATGAAGAACCTAGGGGTAAAACAGGAATAAAGACAGAGACCTACTGGAGAACAGACTTGAGGATATGGGGAGGGGGAAGGGTGAGGTGTGTTAGGGCGAGAGAGAGACATGGACATATATATACTAACAAACGTAAGGTAGATAGCCAGTGGGAAGCAGCCGCATGGCACAGGGAAACCGGCTCGGTTCTTTGTGGCTGTCTGGAGGGGTGGGATAGGGAGGGTGGGAGGGAGGGAGACAAAGAGGGAAGAGATATGGGAACATATATATATGTATAACTGACTCACTCTGTTATAAAGCAGAAACTAACACACCATTGTAAAGCAATTATACCCCAATAAAGATGTTAAAAAAAAAAAAAAAAAAGACCAGTTATGAGTTAGATATAAATCATGTCCATTAAAGTCAGATTTTAGAAATATATTTTGTTCTTTATTATTGCCATTTTCAAGCTTAATCAAAAGTATAATGAACCCTCGTCTACCTATGACCGAGCTAAAACAGAAATATTTAACTGTTCTTAAAATCAGTCATATTTTTCAGAGCAGTAAATGTTCACAGATCTCTTTATCATGCTGCACAGATTCATTTTTTTTTCTCAATTCCTAACTTTTGGAGATTTTTTTTTCTTTCTTTCTTTTTTTTGGTCATGCTGTGCAGCTTGCGGGATCTTAATTCTCTGACTGGGGATTGAACCCATGCCCCCTGCAGTAGAAGCGTGGAGTCCTAGCCACTGGACCTCCAGAAAATTCCCTGGAAATTTTTTCTAATTGATAAATTTGACTTTGTGCACCCAATTTCTTTTCAGATGACCTAACAAATTTCCATTCTAATGTAATGTAATGGTACATGAAACAGAATTGAATTTGGGGTACGGTGACCCACGACAAGTTGGCTCAAGTCCACTTTTCCAGACTTGCCCATAAAATTTTTTCTTAACTGAATATTTAGAACAGGCCCAGAAGGTAGCAGAAGATAGGGCCTCATCTCTCATTCATTATGTGTAGACTGCCATTATGATGCTACAATCACACTTGAAATTATTAGTATTTCTTACTCAGATATAGTTGGGCTGCCAACATAGTGAGCCTCTAAATTATGGAAATTATTACGGCTGCTGAAGTAATGCTTTCCAGACCCAATTTAAAGGGATTTCCTGTCTCTTTCAGATTACCATCGTTTTTCATTTGGGAGTCATCTTGGACTCCTTTCTCTCCCCAGCTATCACAACCAGTCATTGCCAAATTTCTTATGCATCCATTTCCTTTTTATTTCCATTGTCATTGTCTAATTTAGACCCTTCTTAACCTCACCACTGAATACTAGTGTTCCTGTTTCCAATCCATTCACAGTATTAAGCCAGATTAGTCTTCCAGTAAAATGGCTCAGGTCATCCCTCTCATTTGCACAGTTTTTTGTCTTTCCACTTTTACTGTATTAAATATAAGCATTCTACCCCTTCCCTTAAGGCTGGTGTCCCAAGACCCCTACAACATGGTCCTAACTCATTATTCTCGCCTTCTATTTCACTTTTCTACCTGCCAGGATCCTATATGTCAAACACATTGAATCCTCCCTGTCCCCTAAAGATTCTTTGTGCTTTCCTGCTTTGACTCTTTGCTCATGTTTCCCCTGTGCCCAGAATACCTTCCCTGCCTCAGTCCCTACCTCTTAAATTCCTCTTCTTCCCCCATGGCCCATTCTTAGTACAAGCTTTTTCAGAATGTCTTTCCCAATCAGAGGGATTATGTTTTTCTTTTGAATTCCACGTGTGCTTTATCTCTCAAATTTTTTTCCTTGTGGTCATTTGTATACTTGTCTGGATTAACATCTTTAGTTTGTGGAGTAGGGTAATGGTAGGGTAATGTCTGTTTCTTTGGGCCCCTTGAAGTGCCTACTGCAATATACATGCTACCAGCTGAGAAATAAATATTTATGGAATTATAAATTAAGCTATGTAACCTATGGAATAAAGATCTTCCTCTAGAATTCCCCCCAGATTTCAAATATGCTGGCTCTAGGTGGGCTATGGAGGATAATTTCCATAGAATTCAGTTCCTCTCCTAGACCTAAGGAAGATTGGCTCACTGTTGGAATCTTTAATTTACTTCCCTTAAGAGAGAACAAAAATTGTGTGGTTTAGTTTTTACATTGTGAGAACATGTCTACAGAGATCTCAAGTAAAAGAAGGCCCTGTCATTTGACAGTTGATTGCTTATTATCTCTAAGTTTGTCACGGATAGTTACTATTAGTTAAAAATGTATTTGCGCCTTTATCGTGTGTTAACTAGAATAGTGATGAAGAAAATCAAGAAAGTGTCTCTTTCTATAAAAACCAAATTTCTTTTTCAGCATGTTTTTTATTTTGATGAAGTCTTTGATGAGGCGTGCACCAATCAAGATGTATACATGAAAACTACTCACCCACTCATTCAGCATATTTTCAATGGGTACGATAGAAATTATTTGCTCCTCCTGCCTTTTATTTTCTATTTTCCATAAGTCTTATTTCTTTATAAATGTTACTTATGTTTTTCAGTTATTTTGAATTAAACATGAAATTGTGTTTTAACCTAATGAATTAAATTAGACTCTTCTGGAAAATTCAGTGTCTCTATAGGATTCACAAAGCATTTAGAAATATTCAGCAAAATTTCCATTTATACTGATAATATTGATTCTCTGTGCTTAGTGGAAAAATATAAGCTGGCAACAATATATATATATTGGGTGGGAATGCTACTCCTGTTCTTTTTTTTTTTTTAAAGATTTATTTTTATTTATTTATTTTATTTATTTTGGCTGTGCCGGGTCTTAGTTGCGGCACACGGGATCTTTGTTGCAGGATGCAGGATTTTTTAGTTGCGGCATGCGAACTCTTAGTTTTGGCATGCACATGGGATCTAGTTCCCTGACCAGGGGTCGAACCCGGGCCCTCTGCATTGGGAGCACAGAGTTTTATCCACTGCACCACCAGGGAAGTCCCTGTCAACAATTTTATTTCATCAAAGTCCTCAGAATAAGAAGGTGTAAGTGGTTGTAGTTAGTCTGAACTTTTGATAATAGGAATTATGTATTCTAGCTATAGTTTCATTTTAATTTTAAAATAATTATTCACACATAAACATTAAATGGGACAGAGTAGGTACTAGGGCCCTCTGTTGTATATTTAAAATGTAGTCAGGTACAAGTAGAAAATGTTGAACAACCTGCTAGAGTAACTGATTTCAGAGTATTTTTACTTTTATTTTTTAAAATAACTTTTATAACTTAAAAAAGTTGAGGTATAATTTACATACATTAAGATGCACAGATCTTAAGAAGTACTCAGGTTTGATGAGTTTTGATAGTTGCACGTATCCAAGTAACCAATACCTGGAACAAGATATAGAACATTTCCATCGCCCCAGAAAGTTCTCTTGTGTCCCTTTTTAGTTAATCCTCCCACCTTCACCCCCAGGTCTTATATAACCACTGACTTGCTTTCTGTCACTATAGATTAGTTTCGCCTGTTCTAGAGTGTCATAGAAACAGAATCATTACAATATATATCTAATGCCTGGCTTCTTTTGCGTAGATAATGATGTTTTTTTAAATAAATTTATTTTTATTTTCATTTATTTTTGGCTGCATTGGGTCTTCATTGCTGCGCGCAGGCTTTCTCTAGTTGCAGCGAGTAAGGGCTACTCTTTGTTGCAGTGTGCGGGCTTCTCATTGCAGTGGCTTCTCTTCTCTAGGGCTTCCCCTAGAGCACGGGCTCTAGGCTCACAGGATTCAGTAGTTGTGGCACACGGGCTTCAGTAGTTGTGGCACACGGGCTTAGTTGCTCCACGGCATGTGGGATCTTCCAGGACCAGGGCTCGAACCCGTGTCCCCTGCATTGGCAGGCAGATTCTTAACCACTGTGCCACCAGGGAAGCCCTACCACAATTTTTTTATCCATTCTCTTGTTAATGGACATTTGTGTTGTTTCCAGTTTTGGAGAATTATGAATAAAGGTGTATGAACATTTTTATGCAAGTCTTTTTATGGACATCTTTTAATTTATCTCGAATAAAAACCTATAAATGGAATTGCTGGGTCATTGGATAGGTGTATGTTTATAAGAAAGTGTCAGACAATTTTCCATGCACGGTTATATACTCCTAGAAGAATTGCAGTTCTGCATCCTCACCATAGTTGATATTGTCAGACGTCTTTTTTATTTTAGCCAATTTAATGGAACTGTATCTCATTGTGGGTTTCTTTTTTAATATTTATTTATTTATTTTGTCTGTGCTGGGTCTTAGCTGCGGCATGCTGGATCTTTGTTGCAGCATGCAGGCTCTTAGTTGTGGCATGTGGGATCTAGTTCCCTGACTAGGGATCTAACCCGGGCCCCCAGCATTGGAAGTGCGGAGTCTTAACCACTGGGCCACCAGGGAATTTCCTCGTGTTTTAAAATTTTAATTTCCCCAGTGTCTAATGATACTGAGCATATTTTCATGTACTTATTGGCCATTCAGATATCTTCATTTGCCTGTTTTTTGTGTTTTTTAATTTTTTTAATAAATTTATTTATTTATTTATGGCTGTGTTGGGTCTTGGTTGCTGCTCGCGGGCTTTCTCTAGTTGCAGTGAGCAGGTGCTACTCTTTGATGCGGTGCACGGGATTGTCATTGCAGTGGCTTCTCTTTGTTGCACAGCACAGGCTCTAGGCATGTGGGCTTCAGTAGCTGTGGCATGCGGGCTCAGTAGTTGTGGCTCGTGGGCTCTAGAGCACAGTCTCAGTAGTTGTGGCATATGGGCTTAGTTTCTCTGCAGCATGTGGGATCTTCCCGGACCAGGGCCCGAACCCGTGTCCCCTGCATTGGCAGGTGGATTCTTAACCAGTGAGCCACCCGGGAAGTCCCTAATTTTTTTTTTTTAATTTTTATTTATTTTTGGCTGCATTGGGTCTTCATTGCTGCACTCTGGCTTTCTTTAGTTGCAGCAGGCGGGGTCTACTCTTCGTTGTAGTGCGCGGGCTTCTCATTGCGGTGGCTTCTATTTTTGCAGCGCGTGGGCTGTAGGGCACACGGGCTTCAGTAGTTGTGGCTCGTGTGCTCTAAAGTGCAGGCTCAGTAGTTGTGGCGCACGGGCTTAGTTGTTCTATGATGTGTGGGATCTTCCTGGACCAGGGATCAAACCCATGTCCCCTGCATTGGCAGGCGGATTCTTAACCACTGCGCCACCAGGGAAATCCCTGTGTTGTCTTTATTGTTGTTGTGTAGAAGTTACTTTTTTTTTTTTTCCATGAGCAGGTTAAACTGAAGTCTCTGGGGACTTCCCTGGTGGTCCAGTGGGTAAGACTCCACACTCGCAACGGCAGGGGCCTGGGTTCGATCCCTGGTCGGGGAACTAGATCCTGCACACATGCTGCAGCTAAGAGTTTGCATGCCACAACTAAGAGTTTGCATGCCGCAACTAAGAAGACCACATACCACAACTAAGAGGTCCACATGCTGCAACTAAGAAGTCTGCATGCCACAAGTAAAAGATCCCTCATGCCACAACTAAGACCCAGTGCAGCCAAAATAAATTAATTAATTAAAATAAATTTTTTTTTAAAAGTGAAATCTCTTTCAGGTTCAATTCCTATGCACCAAATTTAGGGAGTGCTTTTTGAGAGAGCAAGTTTCTAAAATAAGTTAGAATGTTAAGACATTAGTAAAAAGAGAATTGCAAGTTAGGTGAAATTATTAGGCTAGTTCTTGTAAAGTGTAATAAGAGCTTTCTTCATCTGTTGTTTTTTTTAAAAAAGTTCATCACGAAAATGTTCAGAAGACAAGGTGGATATTATTCTTTATTATTCTAATTTTGCTAGCTCTTCTTCAGTGTGTTCAAATTTTCCTCTTGTAATTCTTTTCCTAACTGTGTCTGCCAGTGTATTCAAGTGCCCACACTGCTGAGAGCCATGGTTTAAAACACAAGGAGTAACCGGTCTCTGCTTCTAAACAACTTAAATCTGATTAGCTCCCATCTCTAGATTCTCACACTTCCATGGTTACTTTGCTCTTGTCATATCATTCTTTCTTTGGTTTCTATCTGGCTTCATGTCCTTTCTATGTATTCATCTCTCTGCCCACCTTCAGCCTCCCTCCCCTGTGTCCATACATAGAATTTTTTTCTTGCTGCAAGTAGCTACTTTTATCATTAATCCATGTGATTCCTGTTCAAGAGTCTGCAATAGCTACTTACTGCATAACATTATGTGCACTCTCTACTTAGTACTACATAGTACTAGGGCTACATAGTACATAGGACCTCACAGTACTCAGGTAATCTTGGCCTCATCTCCTCCTAAAACATACTTTGGCTGGCAGGTTGGCCTCCCAACTCTTCTGTCCATCTCTTATTTTGCAGTTTTTCACACTCATACAGGTTGTGTGTACATGCACGTATCCACATGCAAGAATAGTGACTCCCACTTAGAATCATAGGACATCAGGGCTAGAAGGGATCTTGGAAATCAAGTAGTCCAGGAATTTATCAATGAAAGTGAAAACTGAGGCCCTAAGATCTCTTTTCTGAGTCCTTCAAATATTTTACTTAAATTGATTTTACCTCTGTCTAAACTTCCTTAGTATTCATATGAGTGGTCACTACCATCCTGTTTATCGTATGATCTTCTATTATTTATTGTATTTAATTCTCAATTACTTCTTTCACCAAACTTATCTTTCAGGATTAACACAATTTTTTTTTTCTCTAGGATCCTCTAAAGCACCTAACATGAGGTCTTTGTTTCCTTATTTTCTAGAGCTGTCTTATGGTCTTACCAGTTCCATAAAAAATTCCTAGTAAAAAAAACTCACGTACTGCTTTGAGAATTTTTTTCCTCCTCCCTTGTTTTTATAATGTAAAGCCCTCTTCTCCTTAAAGGGCTCTATATTTTCTAGCTGAATTTTGTCAAGGATTCTTTTTCCACCTGACTTTTGTCATTTAAAAATCTGTGTGTAGATTAGCATTTCTCTTAATATTTAAAAGTAAATACAAATGATTCTTCCCCCAGAGGCAATGCCACTTGCTTCGCATATGGACAGACAGGTGCCGGAAAGACCTATACCATGATAGGAACTCATCAGAACCCAGGACTGTATGCTCTGGCTGCCAAAGATATCTTCAGACAACTAGAAGTGTCCCAGCCAAGAAGGCACTGTTTTGTGTGGATCAGCTTCTATGAAATCTACTGTGGACAGCTTTATGACCTCCTAAATAGAAGAAAAAGGTATTGGATATAAGTAGGAAACTGTAAGTCTGTTCTTTATTGTTTTAAGCCAGAGTCCCACTGAATCATGGGATTTAATGAGAGGCTTTGGTACACTAATGCCCTTTTGTGAAATGAGAGTCTCCTGAATCAGACGCGTATTTTTTTCAAACTGTCAGTTCAGCTAGAGAAGAATATAAATTAGCCTTCCATTAGTATTTTTTAAGTGATCAATATCCTAATGCTCATCAAAAAACTATATCCCTTTTATTTTGGTCTGTGAAAAAGATTATAATTTCAGGAAGTCAGGAAAGCAACATATACTTAAATCCCTTCCTATTCTTTTGACCTATTATTGCACTGGAAGAACTATAATGTTTCCCACTTCCTCTTGTTTTTCTTCTCAATAATCTTAGGGTAAACTTAATGATAGTTTTCTGATATCAGTAAAAAAAGAAAATCTTTTCTTCACATTAACTCTTATAAGGCTTAACCTATTGCCCTTGCAACATAATACAGTACTTTGGAAATGTATTCATTCAGTAACTGATTTTAAATCCCTATTGTATTTTTCTGGCATAAAGTTTTGTTTAGGTTGAAACAGATGATTTTAACTGAGCAGGAGGCCACAAAGTTGTGGAGGTATCAACTGACTGGGAGAACAGGGAGGAGAGAGAGGGAACACGGGAAGTGGAAGGATAAGAGGTTGTCAGGACAGAATTAACCAGACCTGAGACATGTTGGGAGCAGCCACACCAGGTGAAGAGGAGTGAGCTGAGGTTGAGCATGGTGGAAGTCTGGGGAAACCAGTGAAAGAGACTAGCCCCCAGCAAAGATCTAAGCCCCTACAGAGCTGTCCAAAAGGTCGTGCAAGTTTCATGTGCTCCAGGAAAGCACTGGAATGGGGAGTAGGGGTGGAGGAGCAGCTCCGGTTCAGGGAGAGCATTGATAGGGCAGCCCCCGTCATAGAGGGGCACTAGAGTATTGAGTAGCATAACTGGAGAAGTCACTGGAGTGGGCTTAGGCAGGCCACCATCCTATGGACTATTTCAACAAAAAAGGGACCTTCAGTATGCCACAATTCAGAGAATGTACAGGTGTTGGGGGTTCAGTCATGACACAATTGCCAGATTAAGAAGGGTGCTACTTTGGGGTTGCTTTGGGAAAGACTTGCTTTTCTTTTCTACTCTCTCTGTGTTGGTTTTGAAGCCTCAAGTTAGCTCCATCACAACTTCTCTTTCAAGCCTCAATACCCTTATTAGGAGCCCTTTCCAGTCAGAATGGCCACTTCCTTTAAAGAACAGTTAGCATGAAAATAAAAGGCACTGTTTTGTGTGTGTGTGTGTGTGTGTGTGTGTGTGTGTGTGTGTGTGTGTGTGTGTGTGTGTCGCGCGTTTGTTTCTTTGTGTGAAGGGACAGTCAGGATATCCAGCTGTTTTTGAGTGCAGTTCTTTAATGAATGACCCCAATATACTGTCCTGTTATTTCTACATTCTTTAATTATAGCCAAGGGGATGGGAATATGCTAACTCCTGGGTTTAAAGCTTCTCTAGGGCTCACTAGGGAATACCCACATTTATTCTGCAAGTGTCTTGAGCTGTGGGATTTTTGGTTTTTGTGGTTTTTTTAATGTCTCTGGTTAATTGGCTAATATCTCTTTATTTCCTGCCTTTCTGAGACTTCTGAAATGTCCTGCTCCATTGATAATACTCTTTCTTTTTGCCTAGAGCTGTTATGACTTATCCTGTTGTTTTTAAAATAAAATATATTTTCTATAAGAGGGGCTTTGTCGAAGGTAGATAGAAGTGTATGTGCTCAGTCTACCTCTTAAACTAGAAACCAAAGTTTAAAGATCTTAAAATTAACTCTTTAAAGTAGAAGATAAATTGTCTTTACCTTTGCATAAAAAGTGATAAAAATATACTTTTTGCTTCTGTGATTTAAAAATACAGCAGTGCATTTTAGGCTATTCATTAGGAACTTTTCTGGGGCCTGGGAAGTATGTTCAGGAGTGATGTGAAGGCTCTGAAAGCTAGATCTTTCTTTTATTCCAGAAGCCTAACTATTCCAATAGAGTTGTCTTCTGAGAGATCATGGGCATTGGTGAGGCTGTTTTTCTATCCTTCTGTAAAAATTTGGAAACTTGGGGTAAGGTTTAGATGGAGAAAAAAGTTTTTTGAGAAAATCTTTTTTTGGCTGTGAAGTGAAATTCCATTATTTTATTTTACTTTATTTTATTTTATTTGGCAATCAGTATCTTATTAAGGGAGAAAATAATCTTAGAGTCTCTGATAGATTCAATACATGCCCCTTGGTGGATCTGGTTCAGTGATGGTGGTAGACCGTAACCATTCATTTTGTTACACGCAGGCCTGAGACTTTCAGGTGCAACACCAGCTCTTCCTTGCTTCCTTAGAAAATGTATCAGGACTCCTTATGTTGCAAGTATTTAGTAAAATAAGACCCCACTCTTACTGGCTTATGCATTTAGGGAAGTCATTGGCTCGTATAACTAGAAAGCCTAGAGGATAGTCAAGCCTTAGGGTCTTTTTACTCTAGTAGTTCAGTGATGTTATAAAGACCCGGTTTCTTTGCATCTCTCTGCTCTACGTTCCATGGTATTAGCATCATTCCAAAACTGTCTCTTTTGTGGATGTAGAATGGCTGCCACTGCTCCCAGGGCCACATGCTTTCACTTCTAGAGAGAAAAAGAGAGCACCTAACAACCAGAGACTAGGACTTTATTTTGATGGGACCAGCGAAGATCCCATATCCACTCCTGAACCAATCACTGTAGCCAGGAATACACCATCCACTGATTGGCATAGGTCTGGCTTAAATGCTCATTCTATTCATTGTAGCCAAAGATGCTGATTTGTTGAAAACAATCAAAGATTGCCTCTGAAGCCTGGGTGGGGAATCAGGAGGTGTGGGGGTGGTGAGGAGAATGCATATCGATCCCACACAAACAGCAAAACTGCTACTTAATGGGGAGTGGTGGGTTGGGTTCTGGGGAGTCTGTTACTGAAGCTCTGCCAAACCAACCATGTTCTTGCATCCGCAGGCTCTTCGCAAGAGAAGATAGCAAGCATGTGGTACAGATAGTGGGACTGCGAGAACTTCAGGTGGATAGTGTGGAGCTTCTCTTAGAGGTAATTGTTCCTCCTTTACTACCCCACTGTAGCAGCCTAAGTACCAGGGAAGACTTCATTTTGCTATCTCGCAAATATAATGGACTCAGGTTTAGGCAAAGGGCGATGACAAACATACCATTTCACACTTATAAAATATGAATCCTCCTCTGAGATGTTGGCTCCTTTCTCTACAAGGTTGTTGTCTCAGTGCCTTGATAGTGGGAAGTAAGGCATGTGGGAGAGCCTAATGCATGAGAGGATACTTTTGAGCCAGTTTCGAAAGCTGCTAATGTGTATTTTTATGGTAGTGGGCTCTGGTAAAGGCTGCTGGAGAGAAATATTCTATTTTCAATAAAAATTTTAATGGGTAGTACCTTCACATGGATTCAAAATTCAGAACGTACAATGAAAATATTCCTTCCATTCCCTTTTCCTGAGGCAACTAATATATTTTTTAGTTTTTTGTGTATCATTCCAAAGGTATTTTAAAATCTGCTTTTTTCACCCTTTTAAAATATGTAATTTAGTGATTTTTTTTTTAGTATTTTCAGAAAGTTGTACAGCTATCACCACTATCAAATTCCAGAACATTTTCATCACACCAAAATGAAACCCTGTACCATTAACAGTTACTCTTTATTTCCCCTGTGCCTGGTGCCTGACAACCACTAATTTCTATCTCTCTGGATTTACCTATTCTGGCCATATTATATAAATGTAATCACACAATATGCAACATTTTGTCTGCATTCTTTCACTTAGCATAATGTTTTCAAGGTTCATCCATGTTGTTGAATGTATCAGTATTTCATTCCTTTTTATGGCCAAATAATATTCTGTTGTATGTATATACCATATTTTATTCATCCATCAGTTGATGGGCATGTGGGTTGTTTCAACCTTTTGGCTATTATGAATAATGCTGCTATGAACATTCAGGTACAGGTTTTTGTGTGGACGTACATTTTCAGTTTTCTTGAGTATATGCCTAGGAGTGGAATTGCTGAGTCACTTTTTGGGGAACTGCCAAACTGTTTTCCAAAGTGGCTGCACCATTTTATATTCCCACCAGCAATGTATGAAGATGGGTATTATTTTAAAAGCTCCCAAGGTTATTCTAACATGCAGCCATCATAGTCATGCTAGTATATCCAACAAGCCTGGCTAGAGTCAAAGGGAGAGGGCTCGAAGGACAGGCTGGGTACTTGACAATACTCACCTTTAGAACAGCTTCACAGTACATCCCTCCAAGGACTTGGGTGTGTGAAATGGTGAGGTGGCCCACCATTAATACGTGTCTTTTTCTAACAGTTTCTTTCTTTTTTTGCGGTATGCGGGCCTCTCACTGTTGTGGCCTCTCCCGTTGCGGAGCACAGGCTCCGGACGTGCAGGCTCAGTGGCCATGGCTCACGGGCCCAGCCGCTCCGCAGCATGTGGGATCTTCCCAGACCGGGGCACGAACCCATGTCCCCTGCATTGGCAGGCAGACTCTCAACCACTGAGCCACCAAGGAAGCCCTCTAACAGTTTCTTTTTCTTGGGACAAATAGGTAAATTTTGTTTAAGGGCTGGAACCTTGTATTTATGTGATTCTCAGATTCCTGAATCCTGGTACCCAAAATCCAAGGATGGCACCTTAGTGTGGCTGTTCTAGACAGGCATCTAAGAGCCAAGAGCCCCTTTCTAGTGACTGCAAAGGCAGGCACAGAACAAAAGTGTGTGGGACATGTTGAAGGGTTCTTCTGAGGCTGTTGACCATTCTTAACCTGTCCAGAGCTCCCTCCACTGCAGAGTCCTGAGGAAATTGTTTCTTACACACCTATCCCCTGTGGTCCTCTTGCCGCTACCTCCCCTAGTCGTTCCTTCATTTGGCTGGGAGTTTCAGGAGAGTTGGTCCTCATGATGCTGTTGTCCTTGGAAATTAGACCAATTGAATGGGAAAGGATCAAACACTAAAAAGAAGTCCCTTTTGCTTGACTATGGGTCATAACTATGTTAGTGGGCAATCTGGTGTCAAATCACTCTCACCCTGGAAGAGTTTATGGCACTGCTCTATCCTAAGGTGTGTTTTCTAAGACAAGCAGAAGTTTCTTGTTAGTGAACATATTATTGCCATTGATACCCTCAGTCTGTAATACATACGAGGTTGTACAAGAAGGAAGCCAGCTGAGATCAAGGTGGAAAGTTGATATAAATTATGGATATCTGACATGGTTACCCTCATAAACATTTACTGACTTGAAACAACAGCACTTGCCAACTCAGGTGTCACACTTTCACTCTCTCTCAGGTGTCACCATTCACGCTCACTCAGGTATCACCTATGTGTTTGCTCAAGTGTCACCCTCAGGTGTCATCTTCATGTATGTCACCATCACAGATCACCCTCAGGCTCACTCAGGCATGGCTACTTGTTACCTGCCTGCACAACTGGCAGCTTCATTTTTCACACAGGATTGTCCTTCCTCCAAGAAGTTTCTCCTTCCAGGTGTATTTTATTACCTGGTCTTACCAATGCAGGGACCAGGACTTCCCTGCCTTTACAGAGGACTTGCTGATGCAACCAGATTTGGAATCAAGGTTTTGCTTGTTGGGCAAATGATGGACATTTTTTCCCTTGTAGAGTTTTTTGGGCTTTTAAGTCATTCCTACAGACATTTCATGTACTTATAGGTATCCATTCCTGAACTTTTAATAAATCTGCTTCGTGTTTTAACATTGCCTTGGCTGTAGTTGGTAGCAGAGGCCCACAGAGTAAGAGCTTCCCCTAGATAAGCCTCAGTTGTGTGCCGGTGATAGAGACTTAGTCTATACACAGTGCCTACCCTACTGAAGTGCTCATAGCCTGTCTTTGGTATTTGTGCAGGAAGCTTCGTGATTAAAGTCTGGATGGAGCTGGGTCACAGTGCCGTGTGTCCTTGAGCACATCCTTTACCTTTCTGAGCCCGAAATATGTGGATGTTAGCAGACAGTTGGGTTGTGTGACAGAGAAGGAAATGAGATAATATACATATAATGCTTACTGTGATGCTAGTTAAATCTGTCATGTCTATTATTCTTATTAATAAGTCCCTGGGGCTTCCCTGGTGGCGCAGTGGTTGGGAGTCCACCTGCCGATGCAGGAGACACGGGTTTGTGCCCCAGTCCTGGAAGATCCCACATGCCGCGGAGCGGCTGGGCCCGTGAGCCATGGCCGCTGAGCCTGTGCATCCGGAGCCTCTGCTCCATAACAGGAGAGGCCACAACAGTGAGAGGCCCACGTACCGCAAAAAAAAAAAAAGTCCCTGAATGTTTCCCAGTGCCACAGAATTCCATAGTTGTCTCTACTTTCTATTGTAGCAGGTCTCCATTTTACTACTCACATGACATGATTTGTCTAAAGCAGCGGTCCCCAACCTTTTTGGCACCCGGGACCGCTTTCATGGAAGACAGTTGTTCCATGGATGGGTGGGATGGGGGGTGGGGGGAGGATGGTTCAGGTGATAATGTGTAATGTGAGTGATGGGGAGCGGCAGATGAAGCTTTGCTTCCTGCTGTGCGGATCCTAGTTCCCTGACCAAGGATCGAAGCCATGCCCCCTGCACTGGAAGCACGGAGTCTTAATCACTGGACCACCAGGGAAGTCCCTACATTTTTTAAAAGAAATAGTTTAAGTTTTGGAAGTTTACACAAAGATGTGAGTTCTTGGGACTTCCCTTCTGGCACAGTAGTTAAGAATCCGCCTGCCAATGCAGGGGACACGGGTTCGATCCCTGGTGCAGGAAGATCCCACAGGCTGCGGAGCAACTAAGCCCGTGTGCCACAACTACCGAGCCTGTGCTCTAGAGCCTGTGAGCCAGAACTACTGAAGCCCGCGCGCCTAGAGCTCGTGCTCCGCAACAAGAGAAGCCACCGCAGTGAGAAGCCTGCGCACCGCAACAAACATAGCCCCTGCTCACCGCAAGTAGAGAAAGCCTGCGCCCAGCAGTGAAGACCCAACGCAGCCAAAAATAAATAAATACATTAAAAAAAGAAAAAGATGTTAGTTCTTTAGTATATTTTCTTTAATTAATATTTATTGAGAACATATAATGTGCCAGTCGTAGTACTAAGTGCTTTACATACTACGTATTATCTCTTTTAGTCCTCAAAAGTAGCCTATGAAATTACCATTTTATAGATAAGAAACTGAGGCCCTGAAAAGTTAAGTGATTTGTAAAAGTTCTCACAATGCAAAAGTTTAAACAACCGTATTGTCAGAGCTGGCATGTAAACCCAGACAGTCTAACTTCAGATTTCACTCTTAACTGCTACACTTGAGTTGTATATCATTTACAAAAGTCTGTCTAATGATCTTCACAGACTACCTCATTTTTACTCCTCAGAGCTCAGCTGCTTTTTACCACAGTTTCTGAAAAACATGGTGATTGCAGACTGTTACTGAAGCTGAGGAAACTGGACCATGGACCCAAAATTCCTTCATGTCTTCTCTAAAAGGCATTTAGTCAGGAAAAGTCACCTCAACATGTTAGATTTTCTGAGATGCACTCACAGGTATCTAGTACATCATGGCACAATGAAAAGCCAAGTATAAAACTGTATAATAGAACCTCAGAAGACAGTCTTTCTTGACTCCCCTGGGGATGAACCACAAGGTCACCCCTTGAGCTTCCTGTCAGTATCCACATTCCTGACTAGGTATGGCCTTGAGGCCTCTCTGAGCTCTCATCATATTCCAGCAGAAGTAGCATCATTGATTACATGTGGCAGAGGGTACCTGGCTTCTATCCCTAGCCTGACCATATTCTGCCTGTGTGACCTTGGATAAGCCACTTAACTTCTCTGTGATTGTTCTTTTATCCATCAAGCATATTGCTTACACAATTCACAAATGTAGGCATTTAAAAGATCTCCCCTGTCTCTTCATGGGGTTTGTAAAAGACATATATATATATCAAAAGAGCTCTGAGACCCCTAAAACCCTGGGAGGGAAATGCACCAGAATCTTGTTAACTCTGGGGTTATGGAAGGTATATATTTTCTTCTTTATATTTTTCCTGTATTTTCTAAGTTTTCCCCAGTAAGCATGTCTTTCTTTTCTAATGAAAAAGAAGTTTGATAAAAAAAGACTAATACAAATCTAAAATAATCTCTCATCATTGCATTGTAATCTATGAAAGTATGAAATCAGAGTGATAGAGGCCAGGATGAGGAAGTGCATTTAAACTAGATAGTTCATGGGAATTCCCTGGTGGTCCAGTGATTAGGACTTTGTGCTTTCACTGCAGTGGCCCCGAGTTCAATCCCTGGCTGGGGAACTAAGATCCGGCAAGCCTTGCAGCAAGGCATGGATGGATGGGTGGTTAGATAGATAGATAGATAGGCAGACAGACTAGATGGTTCAGTCATAGATTTGGCCTTAAGTGACCTAGCCAGCATCCAGGTTTAGTTATCAGTGCTTTTTTTTTTTTTTTTGGGCAGTTGCCACACCCAGTATAAGGGATTACTGCTCTAATTCTTCTGATTTCTGATTAGCAGCAACATGCTATCCATGCAGTTGATAATCCAGTTTTGCAAATTAACAATTTCTGCTCTTTACAAAAGGATTCATCAGATAGTCCCTTTAAACTTTAAGCAAGCTATATACAAAATGAGTGCATTTAAAATTTGATTCTAAAATACAATTCTGAATCTCACTGATAATCTTTATAGACATAACTATTGCTTAGGCCATGGAGGAATTCATTATTAGTTATTTTTTTAAAAAGTACCTACCCCTGTTTGTTAAGATATTTTATGGACTATTGTTGAAGGTTTGACTCTGTCAGCTTTTGGACTCTTAATCTGGAAACTGTAGCTTTGTTCAATATGATAAAAATTAAACTTCTGAGAGATTGAGAAAAAAATTAAATAGGACTTTCTTAGTCTAATTCACTGCAAAATAGATGAATTTGTCCTAAGTGCCCCACAGTGTAGTAGAAGCTACATGGGCTTTGGAATCAGACATACTAGATGTGGAATTTGGTTCTGCCACAAAACAGCTGTTTGTGAGCAAATCAACCTTTGAATTTATTCCTCAGCTGTAAATTGGGCATAATAATCATACTTACCTCACCTTAGGCTACTGTGAGGATTCTGTCAAATATTTTTAAAGTTCTTCACCTTTTAATTCTCAATAATCAACACTCCCCCAAATCAGGGCAGGATATATATATATATATATATTTTTTTTTTTTACATCTTTATTGGGGTATAATTGCTTTACAATGGTGTGTTAGTTTCTGCTTTATAACAAAGTGAATCAGTTATACATATACATATGTTCCCATATCTCTTCCCTCTTGCATCTCCCTCCCTCCCACCCTCCCTAGGATATTCTTATACGGCTCTGTTTTCAGTGGCTTGAGGCCATTCCTGAGGCTTCACCTCTTCTCCCCCATTCCTTTGTAGCCAGAGGGACCCGAGTTAGCCTTTACTCCCATTTGGAGGGGCAGTGGTCTCAAGGGAAATCATGGGCTCATGGCAATTGTGATAACTCATAACTTCCATGTTCCCACACATCAGTCCTGGTCTCCTTTATGACTGCATCGTGGTGGAACAGGTGGATGTGATCATTCATTCTATGATGTACATTTCTGTCCTTTGCTTCAGTTACTACAACAGATGGGTATGATGGGACCTTACTTTGGAGCCAAGTTATGCCCTGGGGATTTTAGTCAGGATAAATCCATCAAAGATATTAAAAAGAGTATATGAGATCAAGAAGTAAATTAGCTCTTGAGCTATTGAATGTTCTCCCCCAAGATGAGTATTACACATTGTTCTCATTGCTCTTGGGTACTTATTCTGTATGATTTAGAGTTTAGGCAGCTTTCCTCATAGAGGGAAAAGACTGCAGTCTACTGACAAAGCTCTATGTCTGGTCTCTACTGCTCTCAGCCAACTCTTAGGAGCCAGAGGGCTTTGTTTACTCCTTGCAGAAGTCACCCTGTGGATTTTATTTTCAGGTGATCTTGAAGGGCAGCAAGGAGCGCAGCACTGGGGCCACTGGAGTTAACGCAGACTCCTCCCGCTCTCATGCTATCATCCAAATTCAGATCAAAGATTCAGCCAAGAGGACATTTGGCAGGTGAGCTGGAAATACACAGGGAATCACATTGTGTGCCTTTCCCTAATGTGACTTTGAAATATGTGTTGTCAACAACAGGACATCCTGCCACTGTGGAGTTCTTTATTTCAGGGATACACAGTAGAGTTATTAACTCTGAAATAAATCATTGTACTAAAGTGCCATCAGTTGATTAACCATGAAGTAATGACCTATTGTTGGTCAACCCTAAGTTATTAAAAGGGACATTGATTGCTTCTAATGTGAAAAACAGTATCAGCAGAGGAATAGTAGGAAATGCATCTCAGAGAGCTTACAGGCAAAAAAAAAGAAGAAAGAAAGAAAGAAAATTAATCCATCCTTCCTGAAAGAAGCCATAAGACAACTGGGTACATTCATTGCCTCTCTGGTGCTATCTTAGCAAACTCTGCCACAGTGATGGATGAACCTATCTCACCTCTGAGTAATGAGTCTTTTTTTTTTTTTTTTTTTTTTTTTTTTGCCTCTGATTTTTTTTTTTTTTTTTTTTTTTGCGGGGAGGGGGTGTTTGCTGAAAAGCAGCCCACGGAAGTTTCTATTTAATTATCTAAGTGGTCACCTGAGTGATTTGCATTGTGGTCATTTAGCCTTATGGGAAGAATGTTTAATTAATTTCAGTCATACTTTCTCACAAATGATTAAAACCAACAGAAGGGTCTAAGTGAACAGTGCCAGCAGTAACATTAAAATCTTGCAATACTTTTGGAAAGCTGACAGTAATATCTTTTACTTTCCTGAGGATGGGTCAGTGCTGATTTCTTGCCGGGGTCACAAAATGCTGGCTGATGTAAAAATAAACCAAAGCCCCAAAGAAGTCATCCCTGCTGTGTCTTTTCTCTAGGATCTCTTTTATTGACTTGGCTGGCAGTGAAAGAGCAGCAGATGCCAGAGACTCAGATAGACAGACAAAGATGGAAGGTGCGGAAATAAACCAGAGTCTTCTGGCTGTAAGTTGTTCAAAACCTTTAATCTAAAAATCATTCTTGAGAGATTTTGCCCCTCTTTACATGCAGCCAAAGTAGGTGAGGGTGGGGTGGAATAGGGCAGTGGAATTCCAAGGTTGGAGATGGAGGCGAAGGGTGCCCAATCAGATTCTTGGCCGTTCTCGACAACTCTTCCTTCTCTCCCTGCCTTCTCTCCCTCTGGTCAATCCCTGACAATTAGGAACAGAGAAGTATTTCTGCAGTTGCTTGAATGGTTAACTTAGGTACACTTTCTCCCTCTCATCAAGTCTTAAAATTATTTTTTCAAACATATAATAGTAGAATAAATAGTATAATGATTTCCCAAATACTTGTCTCCCAGCTTCAACATGCGAAAAATCTAACCAACCCTTTCCTTCTCCTGGTTGGATTATTTTAAAACAAATCCTGTCATCATGTCATTTCTTCCACAAATATTTAATGATGTATTTCAGAGATAAGGACTCTTATTTTTTAATATAACATAATACCATTGCACACCTAAAGAAATAATTATTTAATGATACCTGTTATCCAGTAAGTGTTATAATTTTACCAGTTGTCCCATAAATGTCATTTTACAGTTGGTTTTATTCAAATCAAGAAACAAACAAGATTCTCGGATTGCTTTTGGTTGATATTCCTCTTTCATGCCATATCAGTTCTTCCCCTCTCTCTCTCTTTTTTAATATTAATGTATTTGTTGAAGAAAACTCAGTCACTTGACATATGAGATTTCCTACATTCTGGATTAGGCTATCTGCATTCCATGTTGATGTTTAACATGGTACTCTATCCTCTGTTTTCTATAAAGTGGTTAAGATTTATATTTGTGCTGTCCAAAATGGGAGCCACTAAGCCACATGTGGCTATTGGGTACTTGAAATGTGGCTAGTCTGAATTGAGATGTGCTCTAAGTGTAAATTACACATTGAAGCATGTAAGATATCATTAATATTTTTTCATACTGATTACATGCCAAAATATTATTGGATGTGTCAGATTAACTAAAATATATAATTAAGATTATATATTTAATATAATATACAATTAAGATTATATGTTTAATATATAATTTCACTGGTTTTATTTCTTTTTATTTTTTTCTCTTTTTTTTAATTGGGATATAGTTGTCTTACAATGTTGCGTTAGTTGCTACTGTACAGCGAAATTAAGTAGAGTTCCCTGTGCTATACAGCAGGTTCTTATTAGTTCTCTATTTTATACATACTAGTTTTATTTCTTTTTAATATGGTTATATTTCTTTTTAATGTGGCTATTATAATAAAATTACATATATGGTTTGTATTTGTGGCTCACATATTTTGATTGGGAAAATGCTGATCTAGAGGCTTGATCAGATTTAAGTTCTGTTTTTTTGGCAAGAATAATTCATGAGTAGTTCTTAGACTTTCTATAGGAACACATCAGGAGGTACAGAATGTCTGATTATCTCTTTTTGTGATTTTGAAGGTTATCACTCTAATTCCTCCATTACTATGTTTCCCATCAACCTTTTTCACCTTATGGTTTTAGCAGCTGTCAATGAGCATTATTACCTTTATCCATTGCTTCATTAGGGATTCCAAAATGGTGATATTCTAATTCTAATATTCCTTCTGTATTTATTAACTGGAAATAACTTTCCCCCAACTATCTGATTATCCTGAAATATAATTCATACAATGGAGGCAAGATAAATGCTTGATTTTTTGCCTTCACTCACCAGTTTTCAGAATGAGTTGATGTCCTGGTAACCTAAACATGACCATGAGTTTGTTGTTTATTTTTTTGTTTGTTTTCATATTATTATAAACATTGTCATCTTTTTTTCTTCTTCTTCTTCTTAAATTACACATTTTTGGCCAGTGGGAGTCTTTTCAAATATGTTCCTACTAGTCCCTGGCTTTCTGGTATGACAAGATGTTGTAGGCTCATCTTGTACATTTCTTTCCCCAGACCTTGAATCAGCCATTTCTTCAACAAGCCTTGGTTTTTAGAGGGAAATGGTATTTAGAGACCATTTAGAATGCTAGTGGTACTTACTACCACTGTTAGTCCTCGCTACTAGGCCTTTTTGGTGGACAGAGCTTGGAAATTTTTTTTTTTTTTGGCTGCATTGGGTCTTTGTTGCTGCGCGTGGCTTTCTCTAGTTGCGTCAAGCGGGGGCTACTCTTCGTTGCGCAGCTGGGCCTCTAGGTGCGTGGGCTTCAGTACCGTACTGTGGTTCGTGGGCTCCAGAGTGCAGGCTCAGCAACCGTGGCGCATGGGGTCAGCCACTCCCTGGCATGTGGGATCCTCCCGGACCAGGGCTCGAACCCGTGTCCCCTGCATTGGCAGGCGGATTCCTAACCACTGCGCCACCAGGGAAGCCCTAGATTTTTTTTTTTAAAGGTAAAAGTATATCAGGGATTCATACTAATAAATTAATTCAAAATTAAGACTGCAGGATTTTTGCTTAACTTTTTAAAATTTATATTTCCCTCCCTTTTCTCTTATGCTAAAATTCTTAGTTCCTAACAACATTAATATAATTTATTTGCTCTACTTCAATATATATGTATACCCAAATCATGTTAATATTACTCATAATATGATTACTGAATTCAGATTAAGATTTCTTTGCAGTTTCCTTTTTACCCTTAAATTGTATCCCACTAGGGATGTACAGTCATAATACTGTGTTGCAAAGTCACTTGAAATAATTCTTCTCTGTGTGTTTAAGCTTACCAATTTTGTATTGAGTTAACGTTATAAAATAAGCCACATTCAGAAAAGTCTAGTTTTCAACCCTGTCCTCTCAATCCTGTTACCTCCCTCCCCTTAGATAATGATTTTCTACCAATATATATGTTTGTATTCACCCCTTTCTCAGGAGGAAAAAAAAAAAGGTAGCATACTGTAAACACTTTAATTTTTTCACTTAACAGTATTCTGGAGCTCACTCCATGGCTGTGTACAGAGACCCTCATTCCTTCTTATAGATGCATAGTCCTGTCTTGTGCCCCTCCACAGTATTTAAGTCCTTTTGATCAGAACTGAAATCTTCAGCTAGACACATTATTTCCAGGCCTCACGAGGGATAAATTGGGAGGCTGAGAGAGGTGAGAGAATCAGCATCTTTTTATTATTGTTTAAAATAATTTTAGATTTTAAAAAAAGTTACAGAAATAGGGGCTTCCCTGGTGGCGCAGTGGTTGAGAATCTGCCTGCCAATGCAGGGGACGCGGGTTCGAGCCCTGGTCTGGGAAGATCCCACATGCCGCGGAGCAACTGGGCCCATGAGCCACAACTACTGAGCCTGTGCGTCTGGAGCCTGTGCTGCGCAAGAACAGAGGCCGCGACAGTGAGAGGCCCGCGCACCACAATGAAGAGTGGCCCCCACTCGCCGCAACTAGAGAAAGCCTTCGCACAGAAATGAAGACCCAACACAGCCAAAAAAAAAAAAAAAGTTACAGAAATAAACATGTAGCATTCCTTCACCCAGCCTTCCTAATGTTAACATCTTACATAACTATAGTAATCTAAATCAGGAAATGAACATTGATATAATACTATTAACTATCTACAGACCTTGTTTGAATTTCATCAATAGTCCCACTAATGTTCTTTTTCGGGTCCAGGATTCAATGTTACATTTAGTTATCATGGGTCTGTAGTCTCCTCAGTTTTTGTCAGTTTCCACCTTAACACCTTTGAAGAATGCTGGCCAATTATTTTGCAGAATGTCTCTGAATTTGGGTTTGTGTAATGTTTTCTCATTATTAGATTGAGGTAATGAATTTTTAGCAAGAATACCACAGAAGTTGTACACTTCTCAGTGTATCGTATCAGTCAATATGTCTTATTACTGGTGATGTTAAACTTGATCACTGAGTTAAGGTGGTTTGTGCTAGGTTACTCCACTGTAAAGTTATGATTATTCCCTTTGTAATAAGTATCTTATGGAGAGATACTTTGAAACTATGCAAATATCCTGTTTACATCACACTTTTGCTGCCTCATTTTAGTATCCATTGATGATTCTTACCTGCAACAATTATTACTGTGGTGTTTACCTGATGGGATTTTCTATGTTCATCATTCTACATTAATTAGTTAGGATGCTACTGTAAGAAAGAGCTGTTTTTTCTCTTTAATTTATTTATTTGGTTATTTAGTTATAATAGTAAATGGATATTTCTTTTATTTGCTAAATTAGAATCCATTTCTATCATTATTTATTTTCTTGCTCAAATTATCCCAGATGGCCATTGGGAGTTCTTTCAAGTTGGTTTCTGTATCCTTTTGACATGCCCCCATCATTTTTTGAGCAGCTCCTTGTCTTCTGGCACTATAACGTGTCACACACTCTTCCCTGCCCTAGCCCTGGAATGAACCATTTCTCCAAGGAGCCCCAGAACCAATATATTTGAGCATGTACTATATGCTAGTCAGTTTACTCTTCACAACAAAGCAGGTTCTCTTATTCCCATTTTATAGATCAGGATTCTGAAGCTCAGGTTAAGTGAATTGGCCAAGGGTCCACAGCCTCTAGCTAGAAATCTTTGATTCTCATATTTAAATTTATGGTCCAGGAATTAAACAAGAAACCTAAGAAGTACCTGTGAAGTTGGAGAACCCTCTGGGGCTTGACTGTGTCTGTCTCACACAGGCGATAGCATGTAAAGGGGCCTGAGAACAAGCCTTATAGAATAGGATCAAAATCTTGTGCTTTGTGAGGTGCACAGAGGTGCCCCTTTTTCTTTCCTGGGTATTTCCCTTGGTTTTCCCTTAGAGTTTAGTAAAGTCTACTTTCCGTTCTGAATCAAGGCTAAAGGGACCCAAAGGCTCATAGAGATTGATAGCCACACTTGGATTTGAGTACATAAGGGGCAGGTGTAACTCAGGGACCAGGTTTGGGTACCTGCTTTTCCCTTCTAGAGAATCTTCCCAGTGCTAAAGTTTGGGGATATTGGACTGATTTGTAATAAAAGAGGAAATTCCCTTATACCTTCTTATAACCCGGCAGCTTCTTAGATAGAGAGGGGTTAGTTGTAGGCATCTGTAGCTGCTGCCAAGAACAGCCACAGCAGACTCTCAAAGCTAATTACCTGTTCTTGGTGAACTCCCAGAACTGGTACTGCCAAGGGATTCCTTCCATTGTTTTCCCTCCCTTTCCTCTTATTTACTGCCGCTTAGCAGAGATGCAGGACTCAGAAACAGATCTCTCCTCCCTGATCCTGTCCCCCCAACCCCTGCTCTTTCTGATGGGCATGTTGCCCCTAGAGATCTACATATGCAGGTTTCTGCTAGCACTAGTGATATCCAATGAGCACTTCTTTGAGGGGCTCTGCCCAGGAGCAAGTGACATGCCCTTGCCTTTGGGCCACAGTCCCCCCCTTGTTTTAAATGAGGAGGTAGACCTAGATGATTTCTCAGTTCCTTCCCAGCTCTGACTCTAGAATTTCTCCTGTCCCATCCAGACAACTTGAATCTGCACTTGAGTCCATACCTATAGGTGTGCATGTGTGAGCAGGGAGGCGGGGGAGTAGTATAGTATCTTTCTATTTAAGTGCATCTTGTAGTTGGGAAGAGTGTGAGAAGAGGAGAGAAAGGGAGCTGGCAAGCCAGAACTGCCACCACGTAAGCTGGACTCTGGGACCTGTGGGAACGTCCCTAGGTTTGTCTGTTCTATGCTATCAGGGCTAATTCTAGGATCACAGCCTTTAAATTGGGGGGGCCCTTAACTAGGCACAGCTAGCACAGGATGATGTTTCCCAGTCTAGCTTGATTTTTCTTGTTGAACAAGAAACTAGCATGGCATTTTGACTTCCTTTTGGGAATTGCATGACTGATTTACTTAAGAAAAATATGATGTTATTCTCACTTTGCATGTGATATTTGATGTGCTTATTATTCTACCACTTTGCAGCTGAAGGAATGTATCCGTGCATTGGATCAGGAACACACTCACACTCCCTTCAGGCAAAGCAAATTAACTCAGGTAAAGTTATATATGAGCTTTGAGTTCTGGTTCACTCATGTGTTCCTTCTTCCATTCATTTATTCCTTCAGCAGAGCATCCACAGCCAGCAAGGCATGATGCTCCCTGGAGTGGGGGAGGTGGGAGGGAGGGGGCAGAGAGAGGAGGGGGAGGAGTCACGTTCCATCCAGGAGCTCTCAGTCTTGGAGAAGAAAGGGGCATCCTCGGGCAGGGATACCTGCTACGAAGCAGCCAGGCTCCCTGCGGGGCAGCAGTGGTCACCATCCAACAGCTTTCTGCTTATTTCTAATGTAAAGAAACCTTGTTGATTTAGTGGAGTCTCTGAGCCTTTGAAGGGGATGGTAGTGCAGCTGTACTTGGTACTTTCTTAGTTGTAAGACTTAGACCAGTGTTTCAAGACAAAAAATAATAGCTGCAGTTAAAAAGAATGAGATAGATTTTTGACATGTCCTGACAGGAAAGATGACCAAGATCTATAGTTTAAAAATATGAAATGAGAAGAAAAACTATGCAGAAATTATGTGTATGTTAGCTGATTATTTTGAGTGGTAGAACCATAGGTAATTTTTTTCTTCCATTTTTCTGTCACGAAAATGTGCTTCTTTTTTTCTTTTCTTTTCTTTTTTTTTGGCGATACGCGGGCCTCTCACTGTTGTGGCCTCTCCCATTGCGGAGCACAGGCTCCGGACGTGCAAGCTCAGCGGCCATGGCTCACGGGCCCAGCTGCTCCGCAGCATGTGGGATCTTCCTGGACCGGGGCACGAACCCGTGTCCCCTGCATCGGCAGGTGGACTCTCAACCACTGCGCCACCAGGGAAGCCCGAAAATGTGCTTCTTTATTAATGGGAAACGCCAATAAGTGCACATCTGTAATGGCTGCAGAAGAGTGGCCCACGAAGGGGTCTGCCTAGGTACAAACAGCTGTGAAGACAGTTACGGGTGCCCCTGGTTCCCTTCTGCACCAAATCCTATGCACAGTAGGGACAGACTAGGTAGAAGGCAGTCTAGGTGAGGATCTTTGTATTCTGGGAGAGGTTTTCACCCTGTGCAGCTAGATCGGCAGCCCCACAGGACCTGGGGCAGAACCTCTAATAACATAGCTCCTTACTAGTCAGAATTGGGTTAGATTGTTTCTTCTCAAACATGATTTCAACCAGGGATCCAGGAAACCCTTCTTATAGGTGGTTGGTCCTGATTCTGACATTGGCTTTGTTATTTTTCAAAACATGTCCTCCATCCCCAGAAATTGTATCCTATTTAATTAAAAAAATAATTCCACACATGGATCCACTTACAGAATAATACACCTTTTTCACTCAAACATAAGTTTTAGATCTTTCCAGGTACCTAAGTACATATATACATAATTATCTTTTATGGTTGTATGCAGTTTACAATTATTTAGTTTGTTACCTGTTTATAGACTTGTAGATTTTCCAAATTTTACTATTATAATAAGGTAATGAATATCCTGTGTATACTTTTTTTGGAGGGGGATCAATTGAGCAATTATTATCTCTTTAGGATAAAGTCCTGGAAGTGTGATTGCCAAACCAAGAGTGTGAACATTTTTTACCAAATTTTTACCATATTGCCAAACTGCCCTCCCAAAGGCATGTACCAATTCATGCTACACAGTATACAGGCAGTGTAGCAGTGTACAAGAGCACCCTTTCCCTAGACCCTCACCAGAGCAGGGTAGTATGAGTCTTAATCTTATAGGTGCAAAATTTTTAGTTTTTTAAAATGGTTTGTTTGCATTTCTTTGATTAGTGGTGGAGTAACCTTTTCTTTTGTTTATTGACTGTTTGTGTTTCTCCTTTTGTGAATTACCTTTTCGTAGAAGGGGGTGAGGGTGACTGTGGCCCAGTGTCCTGCACACAGTAAGTAGTAAGTAGGCCCTTGGTTAGTTGACTTCATTGACCCGCCTTCTGTTTCAAACAGGTTCTGAAGGACTCTTTCATTGGCAATGCCAAAACCTGCATGATCGCCAACATCTCGCCAAGCCATGTGGCCACCGAACACACTCTGAATACCTTGCGCTATGCTGACCGGTGAGTCCCCCTCAGGTGGCGGGTCGTGTGTGTATTTGTGTGTGATACACACACAAGGATCTGACCTTGAGCTCCACAAGCCTGTTCTTGGGGCAGTAATCCTACTGCCAGGGGAATGTGCAATTGGTCATTTGGAGAATGTGACCTAGGAGGCCCTGCCATTTTACAAGTGTGAATGTGACAAGAGGAAGGTGACACGCTCCTTTGTTTAGGGGACAACTCCATCAGTGGCTTTTTTTTTTTTTTCCCGGCCACGCTGAGTGGCATGTGGGATCTTAGTTCCCCGACCAGGGATCAAACCCACATCCCCTGCATTGGAAGCGTGGAGTCTTAACCACTGGACTGCCAGGGAATTCCCCATCAGTGGTGTTTAAATGGCTAGCGGGAGATGAAGTATTTCTCCAGAGTAGAAGGCTTAGTGAAGTTTTCTTCCTGCTAGCCTCAGCTCTAATTATTAGGGATAGAATACCTATTACTTGTCAAGGCAGAAGTACTCAGAGCTGTGTAGGTCCAGAAGAGACCAACCTTATGTTACAGAAGGAGAAACTGAGGCCCAGAAAAGGGTGGAAACTTTAATAGGGCTCACTGGGAGTTGGTGGCAGAACTAGCACCTCTTATTGCCAGGTCAGGGCTCTAGTGACTTTGGTATCTGCCAGGGTCCCTCCCATCTCTTACCCTGGGGTCACGTGTCTCCTTCACATGTGAAAATGCTCTCATTACCATTCTTGCCTTTGGCTGCTTTGCTGCTGGTCCTGTCTTACAACTCTTCCTCTTCAGTCTCCCAAGAATCCATCTCCAAAGTTACCAAACTATTTGAGGGGAACCTGTTTTTTTTTTTTTTTAATTACTGTTGAAGAATCTTTAGTATCCATGGCATTTAATGAAACTCATTGGGAAGGAAAGAGAAGCTACCATCTAAGTTCCGTGAGAACAGGAACCTTATCTTTTTCTCCACTGATATCTCTCCTGCCCAAACAGTACTTGGTACCTAGTAGATGTGTAATAAATATTTGTGAATGAAAGGAGGAGCTCCTCCTGGGCTTGGGGGCTTGAGTGAGGTTCTCTGTGTACCTTATCTCATTTAAATAGATCATTTACAAAGTGGCTACCAGAGTGGACTCTGGAGTTAGACTATCTGGGCCAATACCCTGCCTCTGCCACTAGCTAGCTGAGTGGTCTTGGACAAATTTGCAACTTCTCTGGGCCCCAATTTCCTTAATGTGAACAGGGGTAATGATAGCACCTATCTCATATAACAGTTATGTGGAATCACTGATGCGATATGTTTGAAGGGCTTAGCACCACACCTGGCAAATAGTGAGCTCTCATTATATGTTAACTTTAACAATAGTAATATTACAGGCATACTGTGGAGATATTGCAGGTTTGGTTCCAGACCACCACGATAGATCAAAGATCACAGTAAAGTGATTTTAAAAAATATATATACATACCTTAATTTTAAAATAATGCTGTTGGAAAAATGGCACCAACAGACTTGCTCTTTGCAAGGGTGCTACCAACCTTCAATTTGTTAAAAAAAAAAAACGCACTATTCACAAAGCAAAGCACAATAAAATGAAGTATGCCTATAATAGGCATAAGTTTCCTCGAGGAGGTTTTCTTGTTGCATGGTTTCCTAATGCCAGCACCCTAGCACTACTAGAAGACAGTGAAGACTGAGATCAGATAGAAGACATGGGATGATCCAAAATTGTTCCCCAAAAGCCAGTATGGCTTCAAGTTCTTTCTCCCCATGTATCCATTACCCAGCTTCAACAATTATTAACCCTAAGTCAATCTTGTTTCATAACCCTATTCACTCCCCAAATCACAGACATATCAAGTACTTGAAGTAAGAACATCACTGAGGAGCAGAGAACAAGACTTTCCTCTCAGTGCCTCAGTAACGGAGGATGAAAGTAACCCTTTCTCAGAGGGGATGCATTGAGTATGATTGAGAAATTATTTGAAATAATTTTGGTTAAAAAGTAGAATAAGTATAATAGAAATAATCTCTTCCATTTAAAGCAGTCTGACAAATTATTGAAAATAAATATGAAAGTCATTTGTTTTATGTGTTTAAATTAATTATTGGTAACAATCCATACACACACAGGATGAGGATGATTTTATTGCTTATTTAAAATTTTCCTCCGATTTAAAATTTTCATCTCTGCACATACTAGAAGAATGTTGCTAAATAGTCCAAAAATAAAGTTCCAGCTGGACCCCTAACAGGTGTATCAGAAGAGAACTCAGTAACAGGAGTGATTTTGGTAAAAGGTAGAGTACACTGGAAGCCTTTAGCATCAATGACCAAATTATCTGTAACATTTCTTCCGGCACCCTCGGGTTTCTAGAATTATTTACTATGACTGCTAGGAGGAAATTTTGGTGTTTCTCTTTTAACAAAACTAATAGCTCAGATTTTTATAACAGGAAGTAATTTGGAACCATCTAGACTTGCTGTGGGACCTCTCAACCCATTCCGTGGATGTATGCCCTACTGCAATACCTCAGCAAAGGCCCAAGGACACAATTCATATCTTTAGTCACATCCTATGTCTCTTTGCTTACTGTGTTATCTGCTTGCCTTACCGCTCAGACCTAAAAGGAAGATTTAAGTCAAGTCTCAGTGTCAGGTTTACTATATTGGTCTTCAGTAATGGCCAGAGGGGTCATTTGGCTACTATTGAGTGGATTAAAATCAAAACAATGGAAAAGACATTTTCTGGGAGCTCCCAGGCAGAAGTACTGCTCCCACCTAGGGGATTTCAACACAGAATCTACGAACAAACTACTGGAGAGTCACATTTTACTTGATGTCTCCTTGTAAATCCAAATTCTTACACTGTTTGTATTTTGTTTTCACTCTCACAGAGTGAGAGACTCTGATCTTGGCAACTGAATCCTAGCAGAGACTTAATTCTGGATTTTTCCATGCTCTCTAAAATTCCCTTGTAAAATAGAGCATGGTTCTCTATTTCTCTATCTAGGGTGCGATTTTGCCTCCTAGGGGACATTTGGCAATGTCTGGAGACAATTTTGATTGTTGTGACTGGGGAGAAATGCTGCTGGGATCTCGGGTAGAAGCCAAGGAGGTTGCTAAACATTCCACAGGACAGCTCCCCACAAAACAGAATTATCTGACCCCAAACACCACTAGTGCTAAGGTTGAGAAACCCTGTGAATAGACAGGTCATTTTTCCCTTAATGGAATTAGCACAAGCCTGCTTATTTCCAGAGGGCTTTTGCTTCTTGAAGTGCCCAGCAGGTTTGAGGGAACTCATTTTCTCAGAGAAGCCTGAAAGGAGGTGGTTGCAGGGAAAAGACTCTGATTATGGAAGAGTGGGTAAGGGGTAGACACTAGGCTCCTGAGTTGGCCGATCTTCAAGAAGTGTGGCATGGGCCCTGCGTGGGCATAGTTCTGAGACTAGCTCCTCTGGCCTGGCCCTCACATGGGACTGTGGTATTTCCAAAACTCTCCTGATCATGGAATACTGGATGCACACTACTATCCTGAGACAAGACACTGGTCTTCTTTGTTCAGGTAGAGAGGTATTTCATGCTGAAATAGAATCTCCCCATTTCCTCCAATTCTCTCCCAGATAAAAAAGTAATTCCAAGGGGCTTCCCTGGTGGCGCGGTGGTTGAGAGTCCGCCTGCCGATGCAGGGGATGCGGGTTTGTGCCCTGGTCTGGGAAGATCCCACGTGCCGCGGAGCGGCTGGGCCTGTGAACCATGGCCGCTGAGCCTGCGCGTCCGGAGCCTGTGCTCCACAACGGGAGAGGCCACAACAGTGAGAGGCCCGCGTACCGCAAAAAACAAAAAACAAACAAAAAAAAGTAATTCCCAGTCCTTGTAATAGTTTTCTTTGGTTTTTGTTTTCCCTGAAAGCTATAGGAAAGAAGTTACAGAACATGCAAGAATGCACATTTAACATAAAATGGTCATTTACAGGGTCAAAGAACTAAAGAAAGGCATTAAATGTTGCACTTCAGCTAGCAGTCGAAATCGAACATCTGGAAACTCTTCTCCAAAACGAATTCAGAGCTCTCCTGTGGCCCTGCCAGGGGACAAGTGTTCTCCCAAAAAAGTCAAGCTGGGGCTCCAACAGTCACTCACAGTGGCACCTGGCTCCACGAGAACGAAGGCCCATCCTCTGGCCAGTCACCCAGTCAATATCCCTTTTGCTTCTGTACCTAAGGCTCCTGGTAAAAGGGGTAGCTCTAGAGGGAGTCCTCCCCAAGAGTGGGTCATTCAAACTAGCTCTATCAAAGGAACCATGCGGCCTGGACATTTAGCCAAAAAAAGGGCAGAAGAATCAGCTGCATCATGCTCTGAGAAAAATCCAATCGGCAACAAAACTGCCCTCGGGTGGGGAAGCAGGGCCCCTGGCCCAGGAGAAGCAGCAGTCCGTGGTAAGCTGCCCTCCCGGTGCAAGAAAGTGCAGACTGTGCAGCCAGTGCAAAAGCAGCTTGTGTCACGAGTTGAACTCTCCTTTGGCAACGTCCATCACTTAGTAGAGTACAGTCAGGGCAGCAAGGGGGGCACACCTACTAGGCCTGCCTCTGAAGCTTGGACAGACATCCCTTCGCATCAGAAGGAGAGGGAGGAACATTTGCGCTTTTATCACCAGCAGTTCCAGCAGCCACCTCTCCTCCAACAGAAGTTAAAGCACCAACCACTGGAAAGGTTTTTATGCCAGTCCCGGCCTCCAGAGGGGCAGCTCCAGAATGACAGCCCTCCTCCCTTCCACTCTTGTGAGAGCCATGATGGAGCCCAAGCTGAGGACTTTGATGACAGCGATTTCAGTGAAGATTCTTTTTTACATGTCTCCTGTCAGAGGACCACAAAGCAGGGAAACACCCTGGAGAATAGCGAAGGCTCGTTCTTCCTTCATCAGAGGGAGCAAGGTCCTGAGGAACAGGCAGCCGAAAGGCGGCAGAGTCTGTTTTTTAGCCCCAGGACAGAAGGTGACGAGAAGGGTCTAACTGGAAGCTGGATGTACTCCAGGGACCCCGCAAGCCACAGGATAGCACTTGATCACGGCTGCAGCCCAAGTCAGGTGGCCTTGGACTGGAGCAGAGAGGACTCCACCTCCTCAGGGCCTCCTCCCAGAGAAAACCTGGCAGAGAAGCCTTACTGCTCACAGGTAGACTTTGTATATAACCAGAAAAGGGGGGGCAGCCCAGCCTTTGACCTCAGACAGGATGCCTTCAAAAATGAGGTTCCTCGGCAGGCTGAGGGCAGCTCACCATCCCTGGAAGAAGATGGTTGCACTTTCTCACTATCCCACATCACAGTTCCTGGATCCCCAGACCAAAGAGACACAGTGAGCACACCTCTGAGAGAAGTCAGTGAAGATAGCCCAACTGTGGCAACCAGAACAATGAAAAACAGTAACCCTTTCCAAGGAGAAGACTCCGGAGGGGAACTAGGCACATGCTCTGAGCATGCTTCTGGACTGATGGCTCCCCTCACCGTGTCTCTCCTGCAGAGCCCAGACAATGAGGGCTCTCCTCCCTTGGAGCAGTCGGCCCAGGATGGAGCTGCGCACAGTCTAGTTGCAGCAGACACAGCGGGGCCAGCTCTGGGCCACACAGTGTCATCTGGTGATCAAGAGGCAGACCTGCCAATGTCTTCAGCAACTGAGCACCTGTGGCTCTCATCATCTCCCCCCGACAGTAAGCCTGGGGGTGATCTTCCAGCTCTGTCCCTGTCACCCATCCATCAACACCCACCTGACAAGCTGCCCAACAGGGAGGCTGACCTGGGGGAGCCCTGTCAGGGCAGAGAGACTGCACTCTTCTCCCAGGGGCACTATGATGGCGATGCTGAGACAGAGCTGGGCTGCTCCCAGGGTTTCCCAGAAAAACCCTTCCTCACCGTACATACTGGGGGACCCCACTCTGGGCCTACACTCACCCCCCAAACAGGAAGTAGTGATGTGGCTGACCAGCCCTGGGCCCAGGAGAGAAAGCACCTGGCAGGGCTTGGCTGGCAGGAGCTGGATTTGTCCACAGACCCCATCAAGCTGTCTTGCTACAATGAGGACATCACGTGGCTCAAACGCAGGCCAATCCCAATGTACTTAGCAAGGCTAGGCTCTCCCAAGACTGCCAGGACACTCCGTCAGCCCATCCTGGGGCACGCACAGTAAGTTGGACTTTCCTACCTAAACTTGAGCCCCTTTGGCACCCCTACTCCCACTACAGCTGAATGTTTTGTCTGTTCTGGGAATGGCTGTGGTTGGCTCAGAGAAAGGCTTTTTGTCCACCTTTTCAAGGGAGCCTGCCTAGATGCATCTGACATGAACAGCAGGAA